CTTAAGCCAAATCCTATGAGAATAAGATTCACTCATTCCCTCTCACCTTCCCCCATTTCCCCTCCACTGTAAAAGCCTTTTCTTATCTGTTTCATGTGAGATAATTTACCCCATTCTACTTCTCCCTTTCTCCTTCCCCCAGTATAATCCTTTCTTACCCCTTAAGTTTATTTTCCAGATATCACCCCTTCACCTTCAATTCACCCTGTGCCCTCTATGTATATATACATATAATTTTTTCCCTCCCACTACCCTAATACTGACAAAGGACTCATGAGTTCCAAATATCATCTTTCCCTGCAGGAATGTAAACAGTTCAACCTTAATAAGTCTCTTATGATTTCTCTTTCCTGTTTACCTCTTCATGTTCCATTTGAGTCTTGTATTTGAAAGTCAAATTTTATACTCAGCTCTGGTCTTTTCCTCAGGAATGCTTGAAAGTCACCTATTTCATTGAATGACCATTTTTTCCCCTGAAGGATTATACTCAGTTTTGCTGGGTAGGTGATTCTTGGTTGTAATCTTATCTCCTTTGCCCTCCAGAATATCATACTCCATACCCTCTGGACTCTTAATGTAGAAGCAGCTAAATCTTGTGTTATCCTGATTGTATTTCCACAATACTTGAAGTATTCCTTTCTGGCTGCTTGCAATATTTTCTCCTTGACCTGGGAATTCTGGAATTTGGCTACAATATTTCTAGGAGTTTTCCTTTGGGGATCTCTTTCAGGAAGTGATCAGTGGATTCTCAGGATTTCTATTTTGCCCTCTGGTTCTAAAATATCAGGGCAGTTTTCCTGATAATTTCTTGAAAGATGATGCCTAGGCTCTTTTTTTGATCATGGCTTTCAGATAGTCCAATAATTTTTAAGTTCTCTCCCCTGGATCTATTTTCCAGGTCAGTTGTTTTTCCAATGAGATATTTCACATTCTCTTCTATTTTTTTCATTCTTTTGGATTAGTGTTACAGTGCCTTTATTTCTAAAATTGTCACTAGCTTCCAATTTCTCCATTCTAATTTTTAAGGACATATTTTCTTCAGTAAGCTTTTGGACTTCCTTTTCCATTTGGCCAGTTTTACTTTTTAGGGCATTCTTCTCCTCATTGGCTTTTTGGACCTCTTTTGCCATTTGGGTTAGGCTATTTTTTTAAGGTGTTATTTTCTTCAGTATTTCTTGGGGTATCCTTTAGCATCACTCTCAGTTTTTCCTCTACTTCTCTTACTTGCTTCTCAAAATCCTTTTTGAGCTCTTCCATGGCCTGGGACCAATTCATATTTTTCTTGGAGGCTTTGGATGTAGGAGCTTTGGCTTAGTTGTCTTCTTCTGGTTATATGTTTTGATCTTCTTTGTCACCAAAGTAATATACTATAGTCTGACTGCTTTTGCACTGTTTGCTCATGATCCTGGCCAATTACTTGAGTTGTAAACTCTTTGTTAAGGTAGCAGTCTGTTTCCAGTGTGGAGAATGTACTGTCTCAAGCTTCGGGGGTTTTGTGCAGCTGTTTTCAGAGATACTTCTAGGGACCTGTAAATTTTTAGTTCTTCCAAGGTGCTATGATCAAGGGTGAGGTGTTTGTTTACTCCTTTGCTGGCCTGTACTCTGGTCTATGAGTAACCAAAGCACCCTTTTCTGTCTTGGAACTGTGAGGAAGATTTTCTCTGCACAGCCACTATAAGCTCCACCATGCCAGCACTCCTCCTTGCCCCAGGACCACCACCCAGAACTGTGACGAAGATCCAAGCATGGGCAAAAGCAAGAGATTCCTACCTCAGTGCCAGCAAAGAGATCCCTGCAATCCCTCTTTGATCAGCTACTCGATTCCAGGCCAGAAGCTCAGGAGGCAGAAGCCACCCAGGGGCCAAGCTCCAGGAATGGAGCTGAGATCCCAAGCTCCAGGAATGGAGCTGAGATCCCGAGCTCCTCTCTCACCACCGCAGACACAGACTTTTCCAAGTGATCTTCTAAGTTGTACCTGGCATTTGTGGGTTGAGAAGGCTGGAAATTGCCACAGCTGCCCATGATCCAGTCCTCTGAGGCCTGTGTGCCCATGCCACACTGCACTCCTCTCACAGCCCGGCATGATATACCTTTCTGATCAACCATCCAGGCTGTCTTGGGCTGGAAATTTGTTTGTGGGTTCTGCTGCTTTAGAATTTGTTTAGAGCCATTTTTTATAGGTATTTGGAGGGGTTTGGGGGAGAGCTTAAGCAAGTCACTGCTTTTACTCTCCCATCTTGGCTCCTCCCCTATCTTTAATAGGCTAGGGATAGGGACTTCATTTATAAGGAACTCATCAATGAGTAAACTCCCTCTACCAATACAAGTTGCCACCTTTTAAGCAACCTATAGGTTTTAGAGAGTTGCCTAGAAGATAGGACAGAGGTTCAGTGGATTAAATTGCTCAGGGCCACACAACCAGTGAAGTGCCAGAGAGATAGGACTTGAAACTAGGTCTTCCTGGTTCTGAGGCCAACTCTCTATCCCACTACTGCTTCCTGCTCTAAGTAACAAGGTAAATAAGATTTCTACTTATTGAATCCTACCCATAAAAGGATTTTTGAGAGGCAAATATTTCCCCTGGGATGGAAAAACAAATCTGTAACTGAGGCAGTAAGTTTTGCTATGGATAGTGGCCAAGCCAGTGACTAGCCTCTGAACTATGTAGGTCCTCAGACCACAGAATCAGTCTGTCACTAGGGTTTACCTGAAGCATTTCCAGGTTGCTAGTAGGACCTGCCAGGGCTTGCATTGCATTGGCACACCGGGTCACCTTCTTACCACGATGAGGTCTTAGGACTTTGGTAAAGATAGCAGTGATCAACTTTCAACTACTTGTAATGGGGAGTTATGTGACAGGAATATTAAAAATGACATAAAAACTTCTATTTATATAAAATGGTTATGGCACAGCACGTCAATCATTTCTTTATGTTCCCTACTTGATATGAGCTCATTTTAGCAAACAGGTACTACCCCCTCAAATTTTTTACTAAAGCTGTGAGTTAATTACAAAATTGATTTGAGTTTGCCTTCATAAAACTAAACATGATCTAATGCATCATTTTGCCATTTTCCCCCTCAAAAGATAGTGTGGTACCCGTTCCCTTACATAACCTCTGGTTAAGACGCTCATTAGCAGTTAAATTGGCTATAAAATAAGTAGCAGAAGGGCAAAAAAAGAAAACAAGATTATGAATAATTCACAAACTAGATAATTCACTAGTCCTTAACTGGAATTGACTATAGACATCCAGGACAAAATGGGTGGTTGAAGTTCCCTATTTTCCTTATAGGAAATGAGAATTAACTTGTGGACTGATTTTCTCGGGATAGGTTTTATGGGAATGCAAAGCTTAATCATTAATTTTATTTACCATGCTGTAGAATGCAAGGAGAAATTACCAATAGGCCTTATATAATGTGGGGTTTTCTGAATTTGCCATATAAAAGCAATTGATTATCTGTGCTAGTAGTATTGTATGGGGTATGAGTCATCTTCTCCACCCTTCCCTCTCCAAGCTTTCAGAAGTAGTAAAAAAAATCTATGATACAACATTTTCTTCCTTTCCTAGCTCAGTCATTAACTGCTAAGGAGTAGTTAAACTGAAGGAAGGTGGAAAAGAGGCACAACAAATTGTTCTTAGCCAACCCTGAAATAACAGATCATTTACATTTATGGGGGTGAAATTCTCCAAAGCTAGTTACACCACAGATTTGTTCCCAACACCGATTCTTCCTAGGCTTTTTCTTTTTTAAATCTTCTCATGTTAAATACATTACAATACAGTGTTTTCCTCTATCACCAGCTGAGACCTTTGGGCAGTTTCCCACCTCATCTTTGATCTTCAGAATTGTCTTAGCAGCGAATTACCTTAAAAATAATCAGTTATACCTCTAAAGTAAGCTGTCTGCTTCCTAGTAAGTGTTCTCTTAACTGTGGGACTTCTAGGCTGTGTCCAGGGGTATCAAATTCCTTCTATTAAAAAAAATACTGATTTACAGCAAATTCTTCTTCTTCCTCCCCACTCTTTTGTTTGGGATGCTGAAGTATTTCCCCCTCTGTCCCCTGCAGATCACTGCCCACCTCAGGGGCCCCACACATCGCCCATTTGCTACGTGCCTGCCGGCAGTCCCAAACAAATAAGGAAACCCCAGACCCTGAAGCCCACCCAACTTCGTCCAAAAAAAGTTCTTCGAATCCAACCGCAGCAATTTAGGGTTCTCTTCTCTTTTTGACTTCAAGTCAATTTCCTGTTTTCGCAGTGCGGTTAGTTGGTCAACTGTGCCTAAAGATTAAATGTGAGATAATCACTGTCACTATCTGGAATGATTTTCCAAGAATATTCCACGTCAAATGATATATTTTCTCAATAATCCCGCCCTTAAATTCCAAGAAATTTAGCTTTTCACGGAGTGTTGTTGTCTCCTTCACTCGAACTCTTCCATACCCATCCCCCTAGTTCCCCAAGGGTTAACAGGAAGGTTGCCTTAATGCATACAGTATGACGAAAACTGCTTAGGGTCATATTTCAGACTATGAGCTTTTTTTAGTGTTGTAGGTTCGAGACCACCCCCATCCCCCACCCCTGCTCCCGCCCCCCTAGCCTGGCTTTTCAGCTTTCTAATCTCCGTGTTTTGTTTAAAGGCAAAAATGATAATAATTGCAGAAACATCAGCATTTCCTCCTCTCCCCAGAAACCAAGCTAAGCAGCGGGAGAAAACAGGAATGAAGCCTGTATTAACCCTGCTCCACCCCAAAGGGACAAGACGAGACGAGTAGCACTCGTTCGCCTCCTCACGTGTGGTCCTAACGCAGCAAGCTCCACGGGGGCCGCCGCCCAGCCAAGCGGAGCTAAGACTCCCAAGGGCTCTTTAAATACGATCTATAAATACTACGGGCTCAGCGGGGCTCACGTCATGGCCAATCCGTTCTCTGGTTGGCTGAAGCTCCCTCTCTGATTTGCATACCTGGATTGCACAACTGGGCGGCCCGAGGGCGTCAGTTTCCCTCCTCCAGCTCCGCCCCTCTTTCGTTAGATTAGCTGGGTGTCTGAGCCGCGGCTGCTAGAGGGCGGCCGGCGCTGCGAGCCCTGTAACCCAGCCGGCGGTCAGCCAGATGAGATGCTGATTGGCAGCCTTGGATGCCACGGTAACTAACGAGTGTAAAGCTGTAGGAAGGGTCCAATTGCCTTTGAACTCTGGAATCTTTTAAGTCTCGAATCACGTGGGGGAGAATGATTGATTGCCCTGGAGCAGAATCGAGCGTGGCTAGCAGCAAGCAGATTGACCCACTGGAACGTGTATATTTTTATTACCTTCCAGGAAATGGGAAGGCTGATAGATTGCACCGGGGCAAATTGCACTTCTGTGTGAATCCCAAAGGCTGAAATGAAGCCACGTGAGATCTCGACACGCAGTCACCAACGTGCCCGATGATTTGTGACTTTTGATTTTCAAAAAATGCTCTTGTGGTATCACCAATAGGACTTGCTGGCAAGAAGAAATAGAAAAAAAAAAGAGGAGAGGGGGAGGGGAACCCACTGAAATCCTAATCAGTAGAATGCTTCAAAATCTGACTTTTAAAACGCACACGCACAGTCAAACATGCCAGAGAATCTGCCAGTCATTATGATGAGAGACTGAGCCACTTTCCTAATGCAGCTCTTTTGGAAAAAGAAAATGTTATGTAACAATGTAAAAGTCTTTAATTTTATGATTCATTTGTGTGGGGGTTAAATAGGTAGTGCCATTACTTGAGAATAACAATTGAACTACTGAAAAGTTTGACAGTTTGTGACAGTGTTTGAATGAGTCTATTGGGGAGCAAAGGGGAATGTCAAAGAAAAGATCGTGAATTTGGCAGCATTCAACGGTTCTGTGTAGGGGCCTCTGTCAAAATAGATGCCATTGTGGGGAGACAGCTTTTGACTATCTGGATTGTCTTATAATGTTTTAATCTCTTCGGGGTGTAAGCTCTGAGACTAGAGACTGTCTCCAGCATGTTCTAAGAATCACCTGCCCTCAAGAAATTTGATTGTTAACTCCTAATAAATATACAAAATTTATATCACAATCTCTAGGCTGGTGACCTTTGTTGTTGTTCGGTATATATATATATATATATATATATATATAATATATATATATATATATATATATAACAAAATTAGAGAAGCTGTGTATTCCAGGAGGTTAATGGAAAGACTTCCGGAAAGGCTGGAAAGACTTTGAACCCAGATTAGTCTTCTTAACCTATGTACTGGCTCTGTACTCTTAGGCAAATCACTTCATTTATCTGGCCTGGTTTTTTCATCTGTAAAATGAAAGGGCTGAGCTAGATAAGGTGTTCTTAACTTTTTTTTCATCTGTGTCATGGAAACCCTTGACAGTCTGGTAAAGCCTACGGACTCCTCAGTTTTTAAATGCATAAAATACATAAGACTACAAAGAAAACCCAAAAGTTAGTGAAAATAAAGAGGTAATTTCTTCCCATTTTGAATCTCTTGAAATCTACCCATGGACTTAAAGGTAAGAACCTCGGGACTAAAGGATCTCTTTTAGTACTAAGTTCTTTGAAATGTGGATAAATAAATTTGACCCCTGATTTGTGTTTTAAAAGGCTCTGTGGAAAAAGACTATAGAAAGGCCCTGTGTAATTTAAGATTTCAAGATTATGTCATCTAGAATAGGAAACATTTTGTAGTACATTTAACATAGTAGGTGCTCAATGCATATTTCTTCAGTTAAGTAAATAAATACTTTTTTTTTAGCAGCTAGGTGGTGCAGTGGATAGAGCCCTAGGCCTGGAGTCAAGAAGACCTGAGTTCAAATACAGCTTTGTGACCTTGAGCAAGTCATTTAACCTAAAATGGAGATAATAATAGTACCTATCTCACAGGGTTGTTGTGAGGATTAAATGAGATAGTAATCGAAAAGTGCTAATCACAATGCCTGGCATTTCCTAGGTATTATATAAATGATTATTCTCTTTCTATTCAGATGCCAGAAACAATATTGTTACAGTTCCATAAATGCTTTTAGGATCATAGATTTAGAGTTGAAAGAGACATCAGGAGCTTTTTATGATGAGGAAAATGAGTTTAACAGAAGTTAAGGGACTTGCTCAGGATCCAAGGGTACACTGGTAAATGTTTAACAACTGGCTTTCCAATATACATATATATGTATATACACACACAACACACACATACACACATACATCTATATCTTCAGGAAACACTTAAATTTAATCTGCATTATTAACATTTTCTCTATCACTTTTTAAAATCTAAAAAAAACATTTTCTCCATCACTTTTAAAATTAACAAAACAACATATTAAGCACTGATTGATTCGTGGTGTTTACCAATTTCTGAAGAATAAATACAATGAAAATTTGACAATCAGCTTGGACTGACTAGCTTCAGTACACCCCTGCTAAGGTTACACAGGAAGTCAGAGGTAGAATTTGAACTCAGGGCCTTTGATTCTTGAACAATGCTCTTTCCCCAATGTATCATATTGCCCTGATGATTAATATCATGATGATGCATCATTTTTTTCTCAAAAATATGTATACTAATTCAGAAAAATGTGATTTGAAGTGCCTGCTTCCATTAAATTTTATAGCTGAGCTTGGGAAAGTATTTGATTTGCAAGAATCTTGGATTTTAGTAGAAGAGCTCCCCCTGCTGGTGAAATGGTTTATGGTTAAAATGCCTGAAAAATGTCAAACTCCTGTGTGTCAGTGCTAAAACCAGGAAATTCCAGAGCCAGTCCAATCCCGCAGATTAGATTTCAGAATGTTTTGGAGCAATATCTAGTTTGTGAGTTGTTAATTAAATTAAAGCCACTTCTTCAATCAAGCTGTAATTTCAGCTTAGAGACTCATGAAAGTTGTCCAGAGAGCACTGGGAAGTTAAGGGTCCTACCCAGGGTCCTGAAACCAGTGTCCGAGGCCAGATCTACATTGAGGACTCCTGGCTCTCAGACCAGATGTCTGTGTACTCTTTCACACCACTTCTTCATCTACTTACATAAAGAATAAATATGAATTATTACAAATTAGATAAATACAAGGTAGTTAGTGAGAGCACCAACAGTAGTTGAGGATCAGGAAAGGCTTCATATAGAAGATGGTTCTTTTTTTAAAAAAATTATTTATTTTCAGTTTTCAACATTCACTTTTATAAGATTTTGAGTTCCAAATTTTCTCCCCATCTCTCACCTCCCCCTACCCCAAGATGGCATGCAGTTTGATATAGGCTCTACACATACATTCATATTGAACCTATTTTCACATTAGTCATGTTGTAAAGAAGAATCATAACCAAGGGGAGAAACCATAAGAAAGAAGAAACAAAAAAAAGAGAGAGAGCAAACAATATGCTTTGACCTGCATTCAGACTCCATAGTTCTTTTTCTAGATATGGACAGCATTTTCCATCATGAGTCCTTTGGTGTTGTCTTGGATCCTTGCATTGTTAAGAAGAGATGAGTCTACCAAACATACATTGTGGCTCTTACTGTGTACAATATTCTCTTGGTTCTGCATACTTCACTCAGCACCAGTTCATATAAGTCTTTCCAGGTTTTGGAATGTGGTTCTTGAGTGACTTCTTAAAGAAAGGTAAGTATTCAATGAGGCCAATGAAGGAAAGAAGAAAACTGACATTTATTAAGCTCTTACTCTGTACCATGAGCTGTGGATACAAATGAAAGCAAAAAGAAAGACAGTTCTGGCCACAAAGAGCTACCTTCCGATGAGAGGAGATGATATGAAAAGAGGGGGGGTGGCGAGGGGAGGAGAAAAGCATTGGGCTCCAGAAGAATCAGTTTTGCAATCCGGAAAATCAAGAACTCAGCTGGGAGGAGAAAAAAGCAGACTTGTGAAGGCCCTTCCACACAACAGAGGCCCCAAGATGAATTCACCAACGCAAGAAGAGTGAGTCGTGTGGAGAAATATTCTGAGGAGAGCAGGCCACAGGGGTAGAAGGCTGTTCCAGGGCAAGGGGACCCCCAGGAGCCAAGGGAAGTTCTAGGATGAGCTAGCAGTAGAGAAAGCATGGTTTTAAAGTCCAGCAAAGTGAAGAAAAAGTACATTCTAAAGAGCGCTGGCTAGTGCAAAGGCATGGACAAAGAAAATATAGCACTGTGTGTGAGGAATGGAGAAGACACTTTGGCTGGATTACAAAGTATGAGATGGAGAGTGAAGCTGGAAAGGTCATCTGAGGCCAGGTTGGGAAGTGCTTTCTAGGACAGTCTGGAGCCACTGGAGTTCATGGTAGGGGACTGGCATGATCAGATCCATGCCTAAGAACAAAAGCACTTTAGTATTTGTGTAGAAGACAGACAAAAATGGGGAGAGAAGTGAGGAAAGTAGAAGACTACTTCAATAATCTAGTAGACAGGTAATGAGGGCCTGAACTAACATGGTGGCTATGAGTTAAAAGAAGGGGTCACATATGAGAAATACTGTGGAGGCAAAAATGGCAAGATCTGGCAAGTGATTGGATACATAAGGTAACAGAGAATGAGGAATTAAAGATATTGGCAAACTTAGAAAGGTGAGAGACTGGAAGAACGGTGGTGCCTTCAACAGAAGGAAGGAAATTGAGGAGAGGAACATTTTGGGGGGACAAAATAATGAGTTCTGATCTGGACATAGTGAGTTTGAGGTGTCTCTGAGATATTGAGTTTGAAATATTCAACATGATGCTGTGGAACCAAAGTTTAGGAGAGACGGAGATTAGAGATTTAGATCTATGAGTTGTCTACACAGAGACAAATAAACTCATGGGAACTGATGAGAATATAGACAAATAAGAGAGAAGAGGGCTCAAGGTACAGCCTTTGGTTACACCCATGGGTTTAGGGTATGATATGGAAGATGATCCATAAAAAAGAGATGGTGAGGGAATGATTTAGCAGGGAAAAGAACCAGTAGAGGGTACTGTGTGGGGCAGCTAGGTGGTGAAGTGGATAGAAGGTTGGGCCTGCAGTCAGAAAGACTTGAGTTCAAATCTGGCCTCAGACGTTTACTAGCTGTGTGACCCTGAGCAAGTCACTTAATCCTGCTTATCTCAGTTTCCTCATCTGTAAAATAAGCTGAAGAAGGAAATGGCAAACCACTCCAGTATCCTTGCCAAGAAAACCCAGATGGGGTCACAAAGAGTTGACACAACTGAAAAATAACTGAACAACAATAAAATGTCTCCAGAGAGGAGAGAAGTTCACAAAAGAGAGAATGTGTCAAACACTGTTAAAAGCAGGAACTAAGTCAGGTAAGATTAGGATTGAGAAAAAGACCATCAGACTTGGCAAGGAAGACATAATTGACAAATTTGAAAAAAAAAAGCAGTTTCAGCTGAGTGATGAGGTAAAAAACCAGATCTCCAAATGTTAAGGAGTCAGAGGAGAAAAAGTAGAGGCAATAAGTATAGACAGCTTTTTCTAGGAATTTGGTGGGAATAAAGAAGAGGAGGGGAATAGTAGGGTCTCATGAAGGTCTTTTAAGGATGGGGGAGAGGTGGACATATTTGAAGGCAACAGAGAAGGAACCCACTGATAGAGAAAGAGGGAAGACATGTGAAAGGGAGGGACTGTCAGCTTTCCCCTATTAGGGAGAAATGTTAATTAGCCATTATACCTGAGCACACTGAAGCTCAGTCAGCTCTGAAGAAATGAGCATGACAGTGGAGATTGTGACACCAGCAATCTGGGAGAACAATGCACCCAGTGGAGAAGAGGCCCAGTGAGCCCAGAGGAGCAATATGCCCCCAGGGAAGAACAGGTTCAGTAAGTCTAGCAAAACAACCTGCCAGTGAGGAACACATGTAGCAGAGAGGCAGGGTGTGAGTCAAGGAGCAGGCCTAGAGAGGGCAATTTCAACAAGTTGCCAGAAGACATCTTGGGTCTTGCAGCATTGGAGGTATAGGTTGCCTCTCTAAATATATTACCCACGTCTTAGGCATGCTCACTTTTCACATTGGTGATGTACATATTTATGGGAGAGTATGGCTTATATTCTTTTACTATTTCATTAAATGTCTTTTGCTTTGAGCTAATTTTTCT